TGTTGCCATACGGGGGCATCAGTGTTTCACAAACACATCTTGTTCTATTGTTATGCAATGAAACCGCACAGAAGTCGTAAACCTTCATTGATTTTGTTTTCTTCGAATTCAGGTTATTTTCCCTTATCAGTTACTGCTAGCCATTAGGATAAGAAGTGCCTTAGGCCAAATACGAAAAAGGGGGATGTCACTCTGATATGATTGCGCCCATGAGAAAAGGGTCCTTATGACATTTTTACTAAAACAGAGAAATGACGTCATAAATTGTGACGTTGCATACTGAGGGTGAATGTCTACGCTGATTTTTTTAAACCACATGTTTTGACGTTAGACGCAGTTTTTATCATTGTTTCCAACATGATGTGAAATTTATTTTCATTTATATATTAATTTAATCAATATCTGAATCGGTTTTTATAGATAGGCCTATAAAACATTTGTAATTTTTTTAAACTAACATATCTAGTAATAATGTACGTCTCTAATCTAAGGCCCAAAAGCTTTCCTATAGAATTAACTGTACATGCATAGACAAGGTATTTTTTTCTGATTGGATATCAAACGTGTATAGAAATAAACAATTTTTATTATGATATTTAGACCAGTTTTGGGTTACATGTTAGCCAGGGGTACATGTACAGAGTATAGTGTTGTTAAAATATTGCTAAGGAAAATTGTTTTCCTTTGTGAGATCCGCTCCACCACTCTCAATATGCATCGCGATCGCGTCGATCACATGTAAACATTGTTTCATCGGTGCATAACTGCTTAAACATTTGTTAAATTTTTTGTACTAACGTTGAAACTAAACATACATCTTTCAAGTTTTCAAAAATTTAGCAATGATTTGTAAGAATGACTGTCAAAATATTTGTATTTTCTATAAATAAAAACAGGTGAGGTAACTCTGACAATCGATGTAAACAGGTAAAATGGGTACCATAGAGGGACATTTTCTGTCTTTTGGACTAATCTTTAGTAGAACTTTTCAACTGTGAAATAATAAAATAATATGACTCAACATTTATCATGATAAACTGTATGTTACATTACTTATTGAATGACCTTCGTAATCATAAGCGCCCCCGTGCCCATACTCATCATAACTATGTAGTACGTAAGATCATCAGCATAATACCGGGTAACAAAGGAAATTTTCAAAGAATTAATGCATTTTCACCATATGATCAATAGCAAAGGCGTCGGAACCGGGGGGATAGCTTCTCGCATTGTTTCTAGTGGATCTTTTTTAAATATTACAGATTTTATTATATCATTCTATGAATTATGTCACTCCAAAACTGCCATTTGTTGAATAAATGTTTTGTAGAATTTACGATTTCTCCTTCTTTGGTTCATTTAAGCAGAGTGGTCTGGCGTGGTTTCATAATCGCCTTGATGTTGACACTTCCGAAGACGAGTTTAATGTATTGAAGTGAAAACCCTTTAATTTGTTTTTAAATGCCATTACAATTACTACCATTTGACGTGTACAAGATGGGTTTTTGAGGACACGGGTCCTTGTATGGTAGCCAAATTGAGGACTGAAGTTTCATATGTAAAACTCCAAAGGTCATGGTCAAAATTGAGGGTATTCAAAGGAAGGTCTTGTCATGCAATTATAAAATACGATATCTTATTACTTATTGTTCAAAACTTGGAGTTTTATGAAGAGACTTACTTTTACATTAAACAGCTGACTTTTACATTTTAGTGATTGGAGTTTGTCTATGTTAAAATTGTAAAAGTCAGTCGTCAATTGTAAAAGTAAGTCTCTTCATAAAACTCCCTTATGCCCAATGATAAAGTTTTTTTTGTGGATCAAACTCTAAGCTCAAGGTTTGTATACCCTTTATGAGGTCGTGTCACAATGCATACACTTGTGAAATTAGTCCGAAAGATCTGACGTTTTCTCGTTTTTTTTACTCACAATTTTGATATTTTATATGTGCCATGAAAAAGTCAAGGATTTACAAGGACAATGTAAATCAAGAGGACAGAAACGACATAAATGACAAAAAATTAAGGAATTTATTCAATTTATTCGAAACCCTGTGTACAGTCTGAGAAGGACAAATTCTCCGGTATAAGGGTCGACACCAAGACAGGGTCACACAGCAAATTTACCACCATTGTAAAACAGTCGGTAGCGGATAAAAGCCTCCCAACAAGATGTACCAAGCCATTTTGGGGAAGTTATTCCATTCCTGTTGCGATAATGCAGCAAGTTCTTGGACATTGGCAGGAGGTTGTTGACGTTGCCTGTCCAAGACATACCCGATGGTGGAAAGATCCGGACTGAGTGCAAGCCATGGTAATGTGGTGATGATCTGCTGTTGGAGTTATCCAGAAATGATCCTGGCCAAATGACATCAGGCATAATTGTCATCTTGAAAAAAAGAAACGGCAGCCATAACGACGTGCAAACGGCACAACATGGGGTGCTAAAATTTTGTTCCGGTAGTACATGTACTGTCCCGTGACATATCCAGCAACAACAACGAGTTTCTTCTGCAGGCAATAGTGATGCCTCCCATTATAGATCCACCCCATGCCGATCATGTCTAATGACGTTAACAACATGGAAACGTTCGTTTCTTTGTCGCCAAACACTTCTGTGCCTGTCCAGGAAGTCCACAGTGAACCTTGACTCATCTGAGAAAACCACGTGCATATCACCGTTGATGTGAGCCACATCGCGGGCAATCCCTCAAACAGGGAATGACACAAGCACGTCGTCACGTCGGGCGTGTAAGTGAAATCCGTGCAGTAGATTTCGGATGGTCTGGCCACTCATTACCAAGCCAGTATCCAGGTCTTTGAAGTTGAGACCTTATCTGATTTGATCTTACCAGTCTGGACGATTTCTCAAGGCAATAGTGTGGATGAATCTGCATGTCCATTGCATGAGTTGTTGCAATTAGTTGACCGGATGATAGTAGTGGTCTATTGATCCTGAACAGACCTTCGTAGCACGATGTCTGGACCATAATCAATCTGCTGACAACAGACTAGGAAACATTCATTGCCCTTGTCATATGCAGTGACCTGCTTTTTCTTCAGAATCTTTCTTTAGAGTGGTTTAACCTTCCAATTCAAACGCATGGAAATTTGTGGCACAAGTAACAGCTTTGATCATCAGTAGCATCCCGTGCAGATCGTGAGAGTGTGATTGATGTGCTGAGGTGATGGATTTCTTTGGAAATGCCTCCTCGAGCTCGTTAAAGGGACTATACGTACAACATGATTTCGTATCCCTTTGTGTGTGTGAACATTTCGATCACAAACTATAATATCTACTACTCCTTTTGAATAGTATATATATATTTCTAATTTCAGCAAGATCTGTAGAGATTAAAAATTTTGATCTGGTATCTCTACAGATCTCAGACCATTGCCTCATAATTTCATTCGGGATTTCGTACCAGAACTTCGACCGCTTGTTGCGATTGACAGATGATACAAGCATTTGTCACAAAATTTGAAAATAACAACTTGAATAATACTTATGGAACTAAAATGAACAAATTTAATCGTATAGTTTTTTCATATTCCATTCAAAGTTTCACAAAAATGGATTTGAAGTGACAAACACTCAATATAGAGATTATGAAGGATGGTTGGTGAAAGGTTCAATTATTTTGAACATAATAGAAGGTAAAAAATTTCTGAATATTTTAGAAATGTATTATTTGCATAATTTACAACAAAAGAATTTATACTAACCCATACAATTCTTTTTGTATCATCTTTCTTATCACTTTAAAACTTTCTTTTCGGAAATGTTTAAATCCATCAAAATATAAAGATTTTTATGGTGGCATATTTCTGCCCCCTATATGCAAGATAAATTATGTTAACATGCAAGAAAATTATGTTAACATGCAAAATAATTATGTCAACATGCAAGCTAATTATGTTGACCTGCAAGTTACCAATATTATAAGAAAATATGAATTAAATATGGGCAAATTTACTTACTAACGCTTGTATCTGACATTTTAGATGCAAGATGCTACAAAATTATGTTGACATGCGACTTTTTTATGTCAACATGCAAGATAATTATGTCACCATGCAAGTAAATTATGTTAGCATGCAAGATATTTATGTTAACATGTGAGATAATTATGTAGACATGCAAGATATTTATGTTCACAAGCAAGATGCTAGTAATTATGTTGACAAGCTACTTACTTATGTCAACGTGCGACTTAGTTATGTGAACATGCGAGTTATATTTTTACATACAAGATATTTATGTCAACATGCAAGATAATAAATTGCATATCAACTTACATATCTTGCATGTTGACATAATTATCTTGCATGTTGACATATATAAGTCGCACGTTGACTTAATTATCTTGCATGTTCACATAAATAAGTTGCATGTTGACATAAATAAGTTGCATGTCTACATAATTATGTTGCATCTTGCATCCATAATGTCAGATACAGGCGCTTAGAGTTAGTAATTTTCCCATATTCAATTCATAGTTTTATATAAGATTGGTAACTTGCATTTCAACATAATTAACTTGCATGTTGACATAAATATTTTGCATGTCTACATAATTTTGTTGCATGTTAACATAATTTATCTTGCATGTAAGGGGCAGAAATATGCCACCATAGATTTTCATAGCAATATGCTATTCGTTTAAACCCCTGAGTTCCAGCAATTATCTGCTTCAGATATTTTATAGTACTTTCGTTTTCCCTCTATTTCCTATAGAAGAACCATATATATAGACTCAAGACCAAAATATTTAGTCTCTACGGATCTCTCTGAGATTAATATGTATATTTCCAGAAAGTATTCTTTATGTTTCTACGGATATCAATGATATTAAGTACACGGTATATTTCCAGATAGTATTCTTTTTGTTTATATAATTAAATGCATTGCAATTAAGATATTTATAGAATCGTTGAAGATACGCGCCCTAGTGCGTCTCCGATCATGTTGGTTTTTGTCGTGTTCTATTGGGTATTTAGGCTTAATTATGTATTGACACGATTGATCTAGAAACAGGACTTGCAATTGTGTGTTCCCTACGATTTTTCCTGGAAGTAACTAGGTGGGACGGTACGTGTTCTGAGAATTTGAAACGTGGGAGAGAATTCTTCAGTTCGAACCAATACAAAGAAATGGAGAATCACCAGAACTGTACATCTAAGTGATATAAACTGATCAGCGTAAAGGTGGATTTGAAGTGACAAGACAATTAGCTGATCAACATATGGTGGATATTGAAGAAGTGTGTCTGAAACCGGTCGTGAATGGACACCATGACAAATCAGTTGTATCCATTTACTTGCATGGACTTGTGTTTGAACGTCTTTTCTGTGTTTTTATTTTGCGTTGATGTCTTTACGGACATTTGGTTGGCTAAAAGCTATTACGAAGATGGAATGACGTTAGAGTGCATTTTGACGGCATCTGTTGTTGTTGCTGCATTTATAGTAACTGGAATTTTAGGTTCGATCTGGCTTAGGGATAAATCTGATCCGAAACGTCCTCCCCGGCCTTTCATTTTATTGATTTTGACGTTTCCATTTGCTACCATAGAGAGGTAGATTTGACTTGATGTCATTTGAAATGAGTATGGAATATAATGTAAATGAAAAACATACAATTTGTGTCCTTTTAAAGTATATTTACTGTGCAATAATTTTATAGATCTAACTGGAAATACATGTACCAGTAATCTTCAGTCACATTTTTGAGTCATATTGAAAGCCCGGTAGATTGGTGCTTACTATAAATTGATATCGGATAAGCCAATTTACTAGTATGGAAAAGTAAAAATTTGAAATTAGAAATGTACACGACAAACAATTATTTGTCATAATGATTATAGAAATAAGCTACGTAAATAGAAACTCTTTTTAATAGGGCACTGGAAAAAATATCATCCCTGTTTTTTACACATTGAAATTAATTCTTTTTTTTATTTTGCAGTAATATAACATACATATATCATGGCTACAAAAGCAGAAAGAAGGGAAGTGACCGCCATTTTAGAGAAATGATCAACAGCAATATGAATGCGACTCTACTAAGAATGTTTGATGCCTTTATTGAATCCGCTCCCCAACTACTTCTACAGGTGTACCTCATTCTCAAAGAACAAGAAAATCTCAAAGACTGTGAAGATATGTCGATTCGTAGTCGTAAGTTTTTCCCCAGATTTTATGAAAGCTGCAAATTAACCCCCCCCCCAGTACAGTAAATTCAAATTAACAACAAGATAGCAACCTTATAAGATAACGCAATCATTTCAGAAGTCATTTAGTAAGCTGTCACTTTCACGATATTTCTATAAAGTTATATTTTTTTTCTTTGATAGATACTAGTATCGATAAAAGTGTTCATTGATAAATTTTATATTGAAATATTTCAATTATTTCAAGTAGTTTTTCTCAAAATTAGACACGTAACACGGAATGTTGACACTGCATTACCAAACACAGACTTCCTGTGTATTGTTATGACATCCTGAGTATTGGGGGTCTCCAGGTCAATAACACCACTGTTACTTAGACCACTCCCCCTCCTCAGGTAACCCTACGGTAAAAAAGATGGCCGGGTCTCTAATTCCCACATAAGTTGTAAATAAGTCACTATCGCAATGCAGAGTTGTCGATGTGACGTCATTTAGTAAAACGTGAGGCAGATCAAGTAATGTTTTCTCAACGAAAAATGTTTTCTATAATTTAATAAAATATTATTTACATATACTCTATTAGCCATTAACTTGGATTCAATATCTTCTTCACGATTTTATTAATATATTTTCTGTATATTTAAGGAATCACTGTCTAGTGAGTATAGTATGCCAGTGCATCAACGATAGTGGGAAACATGGATAATTTGCTGGTCGAAGCCCGTTATACATAAATTATTCCATATTTCCCACTACCGCTGATGTGCCTGACATACTATACTAAATAGACAGTGATTCCTTATATTTCCATTTCATTGTGAAATAAATTGTAGATTTAGATTTTAAAAATGTAGACATAGATTTAAATTACACGAGGACTTTCATACCAATTTCAATAGTCAACGACCACTGACGTCAAACACAAAGGGAGCCGTACGAGATTTACATGCATATTTGACCTCCTTAGCGTCAGACACAGATGTGCACGAGATTTGCATGCATATAAGGCCTCCTTAGGTCCTGATCTACCGACCTGCCTAATTTACATTCCGGTAGAATTATTAAGAAATCAATTCCGATTTCCAATTGAAGCCCAATACCTCTTAAATAGCCATATTACGGTATAAATATATATCAGTGCAGGTGAATTATCGGCGCATATGGTATTTTTTGGTAAAATCTTTTTTAGATTGAAAGTATGTTTCTTTGGGTGTTCTCTCATCAGATTTTAGTATAATATCCATGTACGTCTTGAACAAACAAGCGAGCCATGCGTCATTTTTCAGCGTCATGCATTGCTGTATTGATGTAATATGCTTGGTATCTGTAATTGTACGTATTGCATTTAAAAATTGCAAATTGTCAATAGTTTCCATGGAAACAGGGGAAAAGTGAAAATTCTTTGACTTTGATTTTTTAAATCAAAGTACTGATACGAGTTGATAGTTGTTCAAGCTTAGCTAATGGGTGTTGTTTTAGTGATGAAAAAATGAAAGTCTTGTCCAGTTCGGGGCGACATACCTATTGCTTGCAATAGCAAACTTTCTAGTTTTATATTAAGATCAAAATATTTGTCAAAAGTGTACTGTCAAACAGATGGCTGTATAAAATTATAAAGCTGCGTTAAGTCATGCGCAGTCGAATTATACTTGGCCTCGTTAATTGATACAGTAACTGCCTTGTACATGTATTTGTATGCAAGTACATCGGAGGGTAATGTGGGGGTCTTAATAAATCGATCTAGTGTAAGGGCATACATTAAATGGATCATAGTAAGATTTTAACAATCAAATCTAGAAGTATTAAGGTATATGAAAAGTGCAGCGATCCTGATGAAATCTTGAAAATAATTTAATTATAACTGTCAATTTTCCATGATTTTGTCTAGCACAAAATACAGCATTCGGCCATACATATAGGATTTTAACAATGAAATTGCAGAACCTAACTAGAGATTGGATCGCGGCACTTTTCAGAAACTACAATGCGTGTTGAAAATATTTATAAACTGAACTTTTAATTTTAACATGTTTATGTCCTTCACCAGTGAAAGAAGATGGGTGAGCAAAGCGGGCAGAATGCCTATAGCGTCGGATATTAAGAAAACATATTCAATGTGTGAATTGAGTATTTAAATTAAATTTTAATTATTAAAATTTATGAAATTATGAGGGAAAAACTTTTCTTAGAGAAAAAAAAATATCGTAAAAAAAAATTCTTTATAAAAATATAAGATGATATTCGTGGGATTCGAACCCTAGCAATAAAAATCGGACGTATCATACTGCTAAAATGAGACTAACATACCAACAATTATGCTACATGGCTCATGATGATTCATGATCATTTAAATCATGTTTGTTATATGACCCTTGTCTAAATGGACTTGAATTTTTTTCGGAAAGATGCGAATGTTTTGTCATGAAAATGTACTTTTAAGGTATAGTGGGTCTTCGCTCAATGTTTTTGTAAACCAAAAAATGTATATCTTATTGCAAACTTTTAGGATTATCTTTCATAAAAATGGAGTGAAGACCCACTCATTTTGAAAAATTTTGTTAAAGTTTGAGAAAATGATTGTTTTTGTTCTTTTTAGTGTGTGTAACTTTTTCATGGGCAAATATTTTCAGTCTTAGTGAGATTTTCGTAAATTGTAAAGATTTGACATTAAGCATACTTTAATATTAGATGAAATATCAAATAAAATTTGGATATAATTGAGATTAAAATTTTCACTTCTTATCAGTCGCACTATAGGCACTTCGTCCGCCTTACCCTCCCATCTTCTTTATAGGTAACCTTCAAACTGCATGTTAATGTGCTAAAATCACATGACAACTCTAAATATCAAATCTAATTGTCCTCAATATGTAGTTATGAACTATAATTACAATTATCCGATATACCGGTAAATAATGTACTAAAATAATTGCCATCCCGTTTATGAATACATTTTTAATCACAAAAATTGTCGATATTTCCACTGCGCACCTCAACTGTTGTGCGTATGAAAAAAACTTTAAAATTGGCCATAAATATTGAACGGTAAGGGCTAGGGCTTCAAATATGTAATCCTTGTGAGAGGACCCTACATTGGATATTTAGATCTTTGATCCTTTGACCTACTTTTAAAAACAAATTTTGTCCATAACTTTTGAAGGCTTAAGGCTAGTGTTTTGATACTTTATATATTTAATCCTTGTGACAAGACCTTTCATTTGATATCAAGAACTTTGATCCTTTGACCTTGACCTTGGAGTTTAACCTACTTTCTAATTTTGTTAACCTTTGTCATAACTTTTTAACGGTTGGGCTATGACGTCAACACTTCACACATGTATCCTTGTGACAACTTTGACCCTTGGACCTTGAAGTTTGACCTACATTTCAAACTCTTATCCATGGCCATAACTTTTGAACAGGTGGTGCTACGGCTTTCATATTTTACAGTAGTATTTCCAATGCGAAGATCCTACTTTGAGTACCAATATATTAAATTTGCGTTTAAGATAAGTTTAAAATTTGCTCTGTTGCCATACGGGGGCATCAGTGTTCACAAACACATCTTGTTTCTTTTTAATACCAACAATTAAGGTTTCGTCAAAGGCCAACATGTTCAAAAATTTATTTTTACGATAGCCCCAAAACTATATGAGGTATAAAGTTAAAACTTTTACAGTTTATCAATTTTTCGTTGATTAACAGATGGAAAGTATCACTTGATAAAAAAATACTTGGAAAACATATTGAGAAAAATTCTTCTTTAAAATGCATATATTTTCAAAAAATACACCTAATTAATTCCGTGCTCTTAGTGAAAACCATCATTGCAGAAACAAAATATGTTTATCAATGAAGGGCAAGTTGGACTTGGATAGTCTCTGGAAAGTTGTTTTCCTTGTTTATTTTGTCCAAATGTTAAGACTTGAAAGTGAAAGTACATTGCAAATGGAGGATTCTGTAAGGGTCTTGTCTTTATACATGTCATGCTTTCCATAACAGCCTTTCAGAGACCATTCACGTCCAACTTGCCCTTCAATGATAAACATATATTATTTCTGCAATGATGGTTTTCAAAAAAGGACAGAATAAAGCAGGTGCGGTTTTTTTTAAATATGCACATTTTCTGATACAATTTTTCTCCAAAAAAAATCTTATTTAAAACATTTGTTATCAAGTGATACTGTCTATCTATTAATCAATGATATATTTATAAACTGTAAAAGTTTTGACTTTATACCACACACAGTTTTGGAGCTATTGTAAAAATAATTTTTTAGACATGTTGACCTTTGACGAAACCTTAACAATTTTTTATATAAACAAATCAAAATTCTGTTGTCACGTACTTGTACATATTTTAACAGTTTTGTAGGTCACCTAAGTAAAATCAGGGTCATAGTTTCTGGTGCTAGGGTGGGGCTATATAAATGCATCAATTCTTTGAAAATCTCCTCTGCCCCTGGATTTTAAGCAGATGAACTATCTATAAAGCTATGATCTTTCAGAATTATGAATTTCAAGGCCCTTGGGTCAAGGGCACAATAGAGGGGGGATCTAATTATATACTGAAAAAGAACGAATGCTTTGAAATCTGCTCCTTGGTATAAATCAACATTTATGAGGAGTAAAGGTGCCTTTTCCGTAATTGTGAAATGTGTAAACCTAGGGTCAGGGGTTCATGTGGAGTGGGAACTCAACAAATTATTGCTGAATATTAATGATACGTTAAAATGCATTTTTTGTCCCCCTACTCTACTCATGAGTATTAAGTAACCATATTAAGCAGGCTAAGTGTAATGTTATGATTAGCTATGGTGCCTCTTTCAAAATGTTGAATGTCATGGCCTCTGATAAAAAAAAGGAACCAAATTCAATGGATGGAAAGTTGTTGCATATTGCTCAGGTGACCTATAAGGCCAATGGGCCTCTTGTTTTTTCTTTTATTTTAGCTGCAGCATATTACAGTTTTCTTTTATAGTTTCAGATATAATTCGACTGTTAACAGTTCTCTCCTCTTGGATATCTGTCGCATGGTCTGCGACTGCTTTTTATCGAGCTCATCGTCTGGAGAATGACAGTGCTGTGCACAAAACCCGGCTAAAAACAGTCTTTGCTGCGATGGGATATTTCCTCTGGAGAGCGTTTGAAATAGGACCACGAGTAATGGCATTAGTAATGATGTTTCTCATGAACGGCATCATATTTGCAATAACATTGACCTTTCATTGGATTGTTATGGTCACATGGTCAATTGCGACGAAAATAAGGCCATACTTGAAAACCCATCAAAACGTTATCTTTAGTTTATTCGTTGGATTTGTGCAGATTTTTTCTTTCATGAATGTCAGTCGCTTTAAATTTCCAGACCATGCTGTGATAATCAATCCCGTTGACTCCTCGGTTCATGCTGAGGAAGTCAATCCCCTTGAATCTTCAGATCATGCTGAGGAAGTCAATCGCCTTGAATCTTCAGATCATGCTGAGGAAGTCAATCCCCTTGAATCTTCGGATCATGCTGAGGAAGTCAATCCCCTTGAATCTTCAGATCATGCTGAGGAAGTCAATCCCGTTAAATCTTCATGTCTTGCTAAGAAAGTCAATCCCCATGACGATTGCTATCCCATTAAACCTCGACATCATGCCCTTCTATATTATTTGTTTGTTTACACTGAAAATATTGTCATACTTATTTTATGGATTTTGGTTAAAAATAACTCCTTTTGTCCGTGGATTTATCACGGGTCAATTGGCATTGTTTGTAGTGGACTTATTTGTAATATAGTTTTTATGATATCATATTATAAAGTCTGTCACCCAACAACATCCATTTGTGAATAAATGTTATAGAAGGTACGGTATTTTCTTGTTTGCTTCATTTACCCAGAAGGATCTGTCGTGGTTTCATAATCACTTGATTTTACTCAGGTGTTGCTTCCCACGATATAAGTTTAAAGGCTGGTTTACACTATGCATCTTGACACATGCATCTTAACCCATACTTCAATTTTGCTTCATGCATCTTCTTATTTACACTATGTGTTTTGATGCATGCATCTTTATCATTGTTTAGAATACGTATTTGTAAAGATGAAATCTATCTACTTGAAATATATCAATACCTTCAAATTTCTTTTCCAGATTTATTTTAGCTGAACAAATAATTCTTAATTCCTTTTAATGATAATTCTTAGAAGATATAATTCATATTTTTTGGGACTATATGGAGGAAAATAAGGCTTATGATTCAATCTAAACTCTAACCTTTCTTTTCATTGGTCAAGTCCATGCATCTTGAAGCACGGAATAGAACAAGTTCTATTTGATCGTTCAAGATGCAACACCCATTTAATTTGACACAAGGGGCTATTACAATGTGAATCTTGACACATGCATCCAAGATGTATAGTGTAAACCGGCCTTAAGGTATTGAAGTGAAAATTCTTATTCATAACTTGTTTATTTCATGCCATTAAGCTTTTTAAGATATTCTATATAAGTCAGTTAAAGTAAATGAATGCATTGGTAGAGAGATTAAAGACTCAAAAATTAATACCATTAGACTTGTGAAAAAGTTAGCATAATTATCGAAGATAGATCTATATAGGTCTAAATATTGTAATACCTTAAATAACTCAAACTAAATAAAAGGTCCATAAAACACGTGTGTTTGCATGCTTATTTTCAAACAACTTGTTACGGAGTACATACCTCTGAAAATTAGACAGTCAAAATTTAACAAAGACAAGTATGGCCAAAAACATAACAAATTTAGCTTTAAATTTATGAAAATAAAAAAAAATATTATTTGCCAAGAAATTCCTTTCAAGATTTTCCCTGTAAAAATTATTTCAAAACTTATGATGAAGCTGCCCACTGCATTCAGAAAAAAAAAATCAAAAAATATTTTAATGTTGATGAAAATGTTCAACTTACTTATTTACCTGTAATTTTTTCGTAAGATATATTTAATATTATAGCTATGGTTAACTGAAACACATGTTCAATCTCCCATGGTCACCACGCATTTAACATGCACAGTAATTTGTATTGATTATATAGAGCCGAAAGCGAGGCTAAGAACTGTGTCGACCAATTTACTCCGAAGATATTCAACAGAAAACATGCATAAACATCCGCCACAAATAGTGCATGTCATTTTCTCCTGAATGGATCTAATTTTTATAATTTGAAATGTAAGTAAATGTAATGATAAAGTAATCTGATTTTGAGTATTAGATTTCGTTCAAAGAAACACTAAATTATAAGGAACGGGGCATTCATGTCCTATGGACATATTTCTAGTTAATTTCAAATATACCAAAAAACTTTGCCGATTCTTATCTGCATGAAGAGTGATAAACCTCTTGAGCATTATTACTTTTGTGTGTTTAAAACATAATCGTAACTTTATATTTTGAGAACCTTGTGTAATTGAAATCTTGATTTTATCTAACCTGTAGAAGAATCATCTCTACACTGCATACTAAAGAGTAGGGATGTGCGATTTTATCGGTATGCCGGTATATCGCGATTTGTTGTTGCATGATACGTATCGTGATACGGAGACCTAAATACCGGTATTTAGGTACATATTACAAAGTCCAGAAATTGTTCATTTATTCGTTCTATCTTTCATATTACAATTATAGAAAGTCTAGAAATGTTAAAAAAGGTTGAAAAGAACGGCATCTTACCATCCAAACATGGTTAATTTAATGTACATAAAAATTTCAAAAAATGAAATTTTTTTTTTTTAGCATATTTTTTCAGAAAAATAATGACTATCCATTTAAAATCATTGTAATAATTGCTTGTAAAAATATCATGATATTATCATGATATTTTGGAAACAAAATCGTGATATATCACAATACGAAATTTTTGGCAATACCCATCCCTACTAAAGAGTTGTTATTGCGGGGGGGGGGGGGGGTGTCTGCAAGTGGAGTGATCTGCCCTTGGATCTAAATTGATGTCAAGCTACATTGTACCACCTATTATAAAATCTGTTATCAAATCATGCATTGTAAACATTTTAAAAGATGGATATAATTAAATGCACATTTTGTTGGAGTGTATTTTCTTCTCTGACGTAAACAGTAGAATGAGTGTTCATTATCTTTTTTTTTTTTTAAAAAAGGGGGGGGGGGGTAGTGACACTATCATATATTGAGAATGAAATAAGTAAATTCAATATTTAGGCCTTTGTGGAAAGAAAAATCCAAGATTCTTCACTGCTTTCTTACTGTGTGCATCTGAACAGAGACATATTAAAGATCATGCATCTGGAGACGATGAGTTGAACTGTGTTGTTTATGGACTATAGTCCATTTATGGAATAAACCAACCGCGAGATCGGAAAACAAATTAGAAAAATCATTTCTTTAGTGTTGCATGTATATATACTGATGTATACGATATGTTGTTTTAAAGAGTTTAGACTGATATATAACTTGTAGTTAGAGTTTCTGAGACATTAGAATGAGGTTTTCACGGAAGTTAGCACACCCATTCATACAACAGAACAATCCAAGGAAAAGGCGCGAAGATAGCTTGTTAGTGATATTTGGCGCGAAAAGAGCGATTCACCCCTTTTGTAGATTATAAATGGACTGTTCCAGTAGTATAGAAATGCAGAAAAAAGGATACACGGACATTTTGAAACTGCGAATCACTTGGAATAATATGTTTCGTGCAAAAAGAGTCAAGGAAGTAAAAACTGCGGTACTTTGCATCAGTAATATCATTCTTTTTTCTGAAAACTGTTTCTTTTAAAATGCAGGTAAAGAATTCCAATGTAAATCAGCTTGCACAAAATCTAGCTCTCTAGATATGATCGCACACTTTCGGATCTTGGAAATATCAATCCTTATACAGCCTGACGCCGTGACGTCAGGCAATAAGCATTTAAATGTTTCTGAAACAAATTAAAGCATTCACGATGGATTTAATTTCGCGGAAAAATATAAATCTCGAACATAGTGAAATTAAGTTCACCATTATCTAAATTCTAAAATAATAATTTTGATAGACATGTGATAACCATGGTGTACAAAATTAGAATTGGATCCGTAATAGCGTGAATCTTCCTGAATGCACCGTCAAAAGCAACTTATTGTCCAGGCCCGTAAAAAGTAATTCCATTTTAATATATTTGTTATTATTACTTTAGGAAGTACATTTAATAATTCTTAATAATAGATTTTATACGATTATTGATATGCAAATGCATGGCAACGACACCCAACAGAATATCATTTTTCATGTGAATGTGTTGTGCATATTGATTGTGATGACAGACAGAGTTTTGATTACACATCTTTTCCAATATACAAATATGTATTGAATATTTCCCCACAATATTCTTTAAGCATATAATGTCCTCGTTAGATCATGACTCCGTTAATTTTGGTATTATTAATAGTACTGCTAAAATTAAAACTGAGCAGGATAAAATACTTATATATTACACATACTGTGATTGCTCATTATGTACACTCATTTTTTACACTTTAATAGCATGTTAAGTACTTTAACCTATAAATAGAGCAAGTCATATGAAAACGTTTTGACTGCAATACAAGTTTTGGTTAAAGAATCGAAAACGAAAGTATGCAAAATAAATTTCCACTTTTACTTTGAAAGATTAAAATAAGAAATACATGCAATTTATTTTAATTTGTCACGTAAAATCAAACGATGAAGAAGTCAAAGAAGAAGAATTCTGAATCGGGAGAAGATGAAGTAGACAATATGGTTGGTTTTCGTGGAAAACAAAAATTTAATCATGATGAGAACAATACGACCGAAGACTTTGTCGATTTCGGTAGAACAACGACACAGAATGATCTGAGTGAAGACATTAAAGATGACCAAGCACCAAAGATAATGCATAATGCTGAGAAATATGGTGGGGAAGAGAGATGAAACGGCCACTCTTATCATTGATGAGAAAGACAACGCTGAGGATGACATTAATGATAGTCAACCGTATCCATTTACCATTTTGGACTTTCTTGTTGCTATAGTGTCTATAGTTGTGTTTGTGGCTGACATTATCACCGACATTCTCCTTGCTCTGGAATATAAGGATCACGGTAGAACTGCTGAGTGCGCACTTACGTCATCAGTGGTGGTTGCGTCATTCCTGGTGGCAGGGATACTTAGTACGATCTGGTATGTACAAGACGGAAATGGACCTAAAGGAGGAATACAGAGGACTCTCTTCCTCATAGTGGCTTTTCCGTTTGCTACTATTATAAGGTAAATCTTAATAAATATTATTAAATCTGATTTCTCAAAGTGATAGTTTTACAAATATCAAATAAGTAAACCCTTTCTTGTTTTATATGTACGTTTTATATCTTAGCTCGTTTTGTCCGTCTGTCCTTCATTTAATCCCTCCCATTTTTTAAAAATTCTTTTCCAAAGAATCTTTTCGATTGAATTTCAACAAAAGAATTTCAATTGGACAATATATTTTCAGGATTCTTTTATATACTAAAGCTACTAAAGAACTTTTAAATCATTTTGTATCTAGATGAAAATGTTTATTTTTTAAGAAGAGATATTTTAAGGTGATTCCTGCGAGTATTGTTACATTGAATATTTCTTCATGTCAAACTAATAATAAATAAATCCACTTCCAATTTCTTTCAGGAAAATTTCATACATCAAATATGGCTGCTTGAGTCGCAAATCTACCGATAAACATACACACTACAAAAGAATGATAAGGGACAGATCCGATGCCAAACTATTGTGTATGTTCGATGCCTTTGTGGAATCCGTTCCTCAAGTAATCA